ATATTTTACAAAGCTAAAGGAGATAGATAGTCAAGAATTGTATGAACCTGCGCCCCTGACAGTACAGAGATGAAATCTATGTCATTTGAAAGTACAGATCTTCTATAAAAATATTTAGAAAAGTGCGTATAGCTATGCAGTAATGGACAAAAGTTATAAAGGTTTAAAAAAGTTGATTTTGTCACTCGGTTTTTATCATAATTACACAATGTAGATATTAAGTTATAATTTCCTGTGTGTTATAATATAGGTTATTGTTAATGCATTTGTCCCAGGTGTTTAGGATACATAGTAGTTTAGCTAAAAAAACAGGGACGGTAGTTCTTTTCAGTCTTTGAAAATATTAATATTGTTTGTGACTTATTCAATCAAGTTTGACACTTTTTTATAGCATTGGGTGACAGATGCACACATTCCACCTGATGGTATGTGGATGTTGTGAGCCATAGACATCCACATTTATCCTCAATGAAGAATCAAAATGCGAATGCGTTGTCATCCCTGAGAACTAAGATGGAGAGCCTCGATTCCAGTACAAAGGGTCAAAAGACCCTTCGTAAGTTCGTACTGGAATCGAGTCTGACTTAAAAGTTGCAAATACTAAAGTAAAATAATCATATTCTATTATGTAAAACTACATGTTCATGCTGTTGCTGCATTAAATAAATAAATAAAATCTTATCCGTCAGTGTATTTTGATTATTTCGATCCATTAATTCATTAATAGAAGGTTTGTTTTTATAGATAATATATCATAAATAAAGTATTTTTTGAGTTTAGTTATTGTTTCTTCCCTACTCTGATCTTTTTTTATACTATAATATAACTACATTACGGTAATTTTAATGCTATAGAGTGATTTCGAACAGAGGAAATAATTTTAAATACTTTTAAACTTTATTATTTTTCAGCAGCTGCTATGAAATGTTAATAGTTATTCAACATTCTTTGTTTGTTTTATTTAAATTAATAGCAATAGTTTTATTTTTGTACAACTTGAAGCACATTTTGGCTATGTCATTTGCACAAGTAATAATTACTAGGCATATTTAAAAGTATAACACTATGCATATTGTAAGTTAACCGAAATAGTCTTGGAAGAAAAGTACCGTAAATATTAATGATAGCAGTTTGCTATCATTAATATTTACGGTACTTTTACTACAGCGGAAAGTTTAATTTTGTTATGAAAACAAGGTAAACTGCATTCAATGAAATTTAAAAACTTATTTGTCTGAACCGGTGTTAAACTAAAACCGATAATTTTGGCCAAGCGATGGGGCTAATGATATGGAGCAAATATCTCTGTAAAAGATTGATTGAAGCGAAAGAGAGGCCATTATACCTAACATTTTATGTCAAAACTAATACATGAAAAGGTCATTTCGAAAATAAAATCAAATGTGACATTGACACCATAGACGTTGAGACTGGTTTCATGAACATGCGAAGGTCACTTTACGTCCGGTTTGCTAAAATACAATACGCATCTAGTCGCGTTAGGATTTTAACACAATTTATATACGATTTTGGCATCAGTAATGTCACGGACGGCGCAAGGACGGTAGTATAAAGGACATACGAACTACAGCGCATCTCCTTTTTATACTAAGACACGCAATGGAAAAATTCCGTGGTAGTTTCCGATATGCAGCTGCATAGGTAGGAAGGACGATAGGAACAACTTGCCTTCACCTATCCCTCAACTTAAAGCATCAGCAATTTTACACACTATCCTCGAGCCGAGTCCGTGGGCATTGCTAAAATCCAGCGCCGCCACAACCGCGCGACAGCATTATGTTGAGTCAGTGCCCTTTTCAGCATCACGTCACTCATTCAATCAGATTATTTTATGTCTGTGTTCTCTTATTTATTTTTATCTTTTGTGTTTCTATGTACCATTTTATTTTCTGTATTAAAACCGTATGCATGTAAGATGCTGAATAATATTCTTAATGTTAACAGATTTACATGTACTTTTTTTGCAGTAGCGTATAGTTCGTTGGACTTAACCGTAAAACGACTGGACCGTGCATTGTGGCATTTCTTTGGGGAGCCCTATGTTCTGCAGTGGACTTGGGAAGGGCTGTAATGATGGTGATCATGATAAACCGTAGAACACAACATTAAAATTGATGTCGCGTAATAATATATTTGCAGTAGTGCATAATTCATAGGTCTTAGCCGTAGAACCACAGATTACATAAGTTACTACGTAATTAAAACACAAAATCAGTTGATTTCAAGGAATAATAATGTATTTGCGTTTATCGTTTTGAGAAACAAGAACCGGAAACTAAAATTTTGGAAAATATGACTACTATCTTATCTCTCAAGGTATATTTTATGATTCATTGATAACAGTGATCGGCAAATGGAATTGAGTACCTACATTTTATGAATGGACCGCACTCACAATCAATATAATATAAAATAAATATATTGATTGTTTGAATATATTATAATAAATATAAAATATAAAGCAAACGTGCCTTCAAGTTTATACTCATAGCAATCTAGTGTGAATACTATCTGTATCCAATAGGATCATTAATAATCTAAAAATTGTAAGGTGTAGTAGATTGAAAGAAAATTTATCACAATTGCGAGTTTTTTTTTTTGTATCTTCTGATACATTTTTCAGATATAACGCTTGATTAATACATTAATTTGTCTGACCCCAAAGTATTAAAATTATCAACAAATATAATTTACAGCGTTTGGATAACAGTAGTGATGCAAGGCGAAGGGGACGCTCGCGCTGGTAGGACCTCGGATGTGTACAAAAGCATTCCCGAGACCTTGCCGATATGCGACGAAGGTTGAATACCGTGGTCGTTGCGGGTCCGTCCTAGCCCCCGCTAGGCATTTCTTCGTCAAAAAGGGGGTGTAAAGCGTTTGTATCAACTACTCTAACTGATCAACCTCAAGTGGCTTCAATTTAAAAAATGTTAATGTTCACATCATGCAGTAAATCCAAGAAGACACAACATTTACATATTTAATTCAATATTGCGTAGCACTACCACGTCACATAGCCTTTAGTAAACGCCACTTCACAGCCAGATGATCTTTCGACTTCACCTATTGTTACTGTGATATACGTTTACATAGGTGATGTGGTTGGTACAATCAGGAATTGACACGTGATGCACTTTTTATGGCTCCATCCAAACATGTGTTTATCTACGAAAGAAAAATTACGTTATAATAAATCTTATCTATAACGCAAGAGTGATTTTTATAGTAACCATAAGTAGTCATTGTGATGGTTATAGAGCAAAATGATTTTGAGAATGTTGAATTAGTATGATCAACAGAGCCACGCGGCAGCTTTTGCTGTTGCATGTATGTGCCGGCTCGAACCGGAGTGGTACCACGACCTTACAGAAAATCAGCCTGAAGTAGAAGCTCTGCTTCTGCATTTCGTCTGGTGAGTGCCGTGAGGTAGGAGGCTTCATCCCCCCCCCTAACATGGTAGCTGAGTTCAATACAATACTACCCTAGCAGGGTCCAGCACCCCTGGTGACGGAGAATCCCCTGAGCGGCTACGCCCAAGCTACCCTACTATTACTGAGTGTGGGTAGTCGGTCAGACTACGCCACGTATTGTGAGGGGCGGCGGGCGAAATTCCGCTCTAGACTAAACCTGCTTAGGGTAAACGGAGCAATAAGATACAGGCGAACTCTGCCACGCCATCTGTGAATTCCTGGAACATCAAATGGAACATCAATGGACTTCATTCAAACCTTAAGGCTGTCCACTACCACCTGGAAACGGCAACGCCGGCCTTGCTTTTTCTAACCGAGACACAGGTGTTCTCTCCGGCTGATACTTCGTATCTCTCCTTCCCGGGATACAAATTTAGAACATCCTCCTTTGTGCCCCGGGCTGTAGTTTGCGTGTACGTCAGAGAGGAAATCTGTTTTCGACACCTCGGCAGTCTTGAAGGTACGGAGTACGGACCCGTCCATCCTATAGCAAAACTTTAAAAATAAATATATATAATCATCATATGTCATTTGCCCAATTAAGACAAATCTAAATACACCCCGTATGGTAAAATCCTTAAAGTTATATTAGAAGTATAGTTGTGGAACGAATGGGTCGGATCGACCGGGGAGGGACCACGCTCTCACAGAATACCAGCGTGAAATAGTAGCTTACCTAATGCTGCTGTATTTCGTATGGTGAGTGTAGAGAACCGGAGACCCTTTTTACTGGAAACGAGGCATTCCATCTTAGTCCTCACGGGTGACAACGCATCTGCATTTTGATTCGTAATCGAGGATAGATGTGGATGTCTATGGGCCACAGCAACCACTTACCATCAGGTGAACTGTGTGCTCGTTTGTTACCCTATCCTATAAAAAAAAAATGCTTGCTAAAGAAATACACATACATATTTGCATACGTACATACATACAAACACTAAAAAAATATGCCTCCTTCTAGGGCAGCCGGGTAAAAATATCAACTCCAACTTATAACTTGTACTTATTATCACAGTAATCTTGACCTGGGAATTGTACGAGAGAGCAAATCTATGATCGTGATATCATATACCGCTTTCTAAGCGGTGTAGGGGGGGGGGATGACGCACTATGGTAAGTAGTAGTGCTTCTACAGCTGCTCGGTTTACGAGTAGACATAATACTTTACTCCTGTCTAGCTATATCTGGCGGGTGCTGCCGAGGAACAAATATTGTGAAAATATCATTTTAAATTTGAGTTTTATTGGCTTAATTAGGAATGATAATACATTCATTGAAGTTAAATGATGTTATATCACTTTCAAATAAATTTGTCCGTACGATACGTACGCCACCTACTTGTAAGTTAATTGTACTACGACTATAACATTCGCACAAGTGCAAGCAATGAGTTGATAAGGTTTTACCGCAATCTGATAAAAGGTATGGCACCGCATAAAATACGAATAAATAAACATTATTTTCTATATACTAGATTTGTTTTGAAGCAATCAAAAGCTTGTTTACCGTTCTATATTATATAGTTTGCTTGTAACACTAGGAAGATTAGAGTTCTGGTGCGGTCTGTCGTGAATGTGAATAAATTCGCTTGACATTATTGTATGCGCGAGCGAATTTCTCTATACCAGCGCAATAGAAAGCGAATACGTAACGGTACCGCACTACTCGGCGTAATCACCTTGCATCTAGAACGGACGTCAAAACCGACGCTCTCGATACGGTTTTTTTCTTCTAGTTTGAGTATTTCATTAAAGTAAAAAAAATTAAGACATTGTTCTGGTATTTGCCTGTGTGAATCGTTTCGTGGAAAATTATGCAATTACGTAAACTAAGTTAAACAAAGACTCATTTTCCAATATCTCATTAAGTTTCCCATCTAAAACATCGGTATAATGTCAGGTATTATACTGTCAGTTTATGTTGGCCTAAAACAAAATGTTTTTTTTAATAGGACAGGGTGACAAGCAAGCATACAGTCCACCTGATGGTAATAATAATAATAATAAATACTTATCTCCATAAAACATGGTACATTTAGATCTTATTTAACATAGTGTGTACATGTATGTTTTACCGGTTTATATGTATGCAAATATTACGTCAACGTGCAATTGAATACCTAATTAAAATTAGAAAAATACAAAATTACAGTATTATTTCATATTAATTTGAATAAAACAGTAAAAGAAAAAATATATACAGGCATGGTCATATCATAGTGCATAATGTCAAACTAGTATAATGTCAATCTAACAAACTCTAAATCATTTGTCAATTTAAAATTCCATACATCAACAAAAATTCGCTTGAGGTGACCGTCACGGCAAGTGGATGCTGTGACCCATAAACATCTACATTTATTCTCGATTACGAATCAAAATGCAGATGCATTGTCATCCGTGAGGACTAAGATGGAATGCCTCGTTTCCAGTAAAAAGGGTCTCTTGTTCTCTATACTCAACAATCGAAACACAGCAGCATTAAGCTAATATTTTAAGCTGGTATTCTGTGAGAGCGTGGTTCTTCCCCGGTCGAGCCGATCCATTTATACTACAACTATATTACTAATATAACTGCAGCATGGCTCTACCACGTATGTAATTCTTAAGTTTCTTAAAAGTAAAGTTTTGAAAAATTGACCTGAGCTCACAGTCCACCAGATGGTAAGTGGATGCTGTGGCACATAGACCTAAATCTATTTTGGGTTAAAAATTAAAATGCAGTAGCTTTGTCATAAAATAAAATATGACTACTAAGGTCAAAAAGGTATGCTCGTTGTCAGTAAAAAGGCTCTACGGTTCTCGTCACTCACCACACCTGTCATAGCTAGTTTACGCTGGTCGAGCTTAACCAACCATCGACGAACTGGGAACAAAATACTGAATAGTCTAAATGTATACGAGTATAATTTGTAATGAGTTATCTTCTAGACTTCTTTGTTTTTTATTGATAACTAGCATGGCGATCGGTTGAAAGGTATAGAATATGGAGTGTAGAAGTAAGGAGCACCAACGCCCATAATAGAATAGTTGAAAAAGTGGCCATCTGTAAGAAGTAAATAGCAGCTCAAAAACTCTCCACAACAGCGCTGGAGTACATAGGCTGCACTAAAAATATCGGGAATGGAATATTTCCACTGTTCCTGTCATATTAAAATCTTTTTAATTGAAAATTGTTTTAAAAATTTAATACCATTTATTTATTTAAAAAAAAGATTCTCGGTCTTGTCACAAGGTTTCGTCAAACTTGTTTAGTCTTGAAAATGGAATTGATTAGAGAAAATTCAAGAGCGACGATTTATTATGACTTTCGAAGTGCTTTAACACAAAAACAGTGTGTTGACCGGATGATTTCTGCATTTGGTGATGAAGTCCCATCCAAAACCACAATTTATCGCTGGTTTGCTGAATTTCAACGTGGACGATTCAAGCTCAGTGATGATCCCCGTCAAGTTCGTCCAAAAACTGCAGTCACCCAAGAAAACGTTGATGCTGTGCGTAAGCTGATTGAGGAAGATCGACATGTGACATACCGCGAAATTCAGGTAACTTTAGACATTGGCATGAGTCAAATACAAATAATCTTGAATGAACAATTAGGTCTAAAAAAGTTGTTTTCCCGATGGATACCGCATTCGCTCTGTGAAGAGCAAAACGCGGCTCGCGTTACTTGGTGCGTCAGAACTCTCGAAAGATTCCACGCAGGATCCTCAAATGCTGCATACAACATCGTATCAGGTGACGAATCCTGGATTTACGCGTACGAACCCGAAACAAAAAACCAGGCACGAGTTTGGGTGTTCGAAAATGAGTTAAAGCCAACAAAAATTGTTCGTTCGCGGAGTGTTGTAAAAAAAAATGGTGGCCACGTTTGTCTCCAAAACCGGCCATGTTACGACTATTCCTCTTGAGGGACAAAGAACGGTTAATGCAGAATGGTATGCTAGCATTTGTTTGCCACAGGTCGTTTCTGAACTCCGTAAAGAGAACTGCAACTGCCGCATCATCCTCCATCACGACAATGCGAGTTGCGAGTTCTCACACCGCACACAGAACAAAAGAGTTTTTAGAGCAAGAAAACATAGAATTATTAGACCATCCGCCGTACAGCCCCGACCTAAGCCCTAATGATTTCTATACTTTCCCAAAAATAAAGAATAAATTGCGTGGACAGAGATTTTCATCACCTGAAGAAGCTGTGGACGCCTACAAAACGTTCATTTTGGAGACCCCAACTTCCGAATAGAATGGTTGCTTCAATGATTGGTTCCATCGTATGGAAAAATGTGTCAAGTTTCGCGGAGAATACTTCGAAAAGCAATAAATACATTTTTAAATAGTAATGTTGTGTCACTTCCTTGATTCCCGAAATTTTCAGTGCCGCCCTCGTAGCTACTGGGATGAAATGAACTTAGCAGTTGTCGACGGTTTAAGTGTGCTGCTAAACTCCGCAGTAGCTCTAAAATCTAAAATAATTTTATTTAGTTAATATAAGCTCGAAAAAGTCGTCTATCCCACTAATATTTTTTGGTGCGTTCTTTAAAATTTACCCCGTAGCTATAGTGGCGCCACCCTTATTTTACTGTTTTCTATGGACACTTTTTAATACACAGTCTACGCTCCTTACTTCTACACTCCATAGTATAGAAGTTGATGTGCTTCAGCGCCATCTAGTGGTGGGTTACAACAAAGTGGAAAGCATAAGAACCTTCGCCGAGAAGAAACACAAATATACGCTAATTTTCATGGTAATTTGCCTACCAGTATCGAAGTCCGTTAATCTCAAACAGATTATGTACCAATTCTCACAAATAAAGTTTTTGTACGTACAAAAAAACTGTGACTAAATATGTAGAAATATTCGTACCTACCTATGTCGAATTGATACATACTTGAAATTCATACGAGTATAATGAAATTTAAGTGCATTTTAAATACAATTTGCATTCGTGTTAAGAATTATGTGATGAAATTTAAAGACACAGTCTTTAAATTATTAATTTAAAGACTGTCTTTAAATTAATAATTTTACAATTATAAACATCTTATAACGAAAATGGCAAAGATCACCCATGCACCGTGTTAATAAATATATCACGAGTATATCTTCTTAATTATGTTTTAATTGAATTTACTTAACGCTATAACGTGGCTTGGCTTAACCTGATGACGTTATATATTATAACTGCTTAATTAACAGTTGTAAGGGATCAGTACTGATTTAACTTTGTACTTAGATACTGTACATAATGACATTCGCGCGTTGTTTATAGTGTCACCATTGTCATCATCATCATCACAGCCTATCAAGGCTACTGCTGATTTTGGCCCCATATTTCTCATAGTTAGTGCCTTTGCAAGTCCACTGCTGAACATAGGCCTCCAAGAAATGCTACAAAGCACGGTCTTTAGCTACCTGCATCTATTCGATTTCCTGCATCTCTTCAGGTGGCCGGTTCGCTAAGGAATCAAGGCTGCCACTCGAGAACCAGCAGTGGTCGGTTATTCGAGCTATTTGGCCGGCCCATTGCCACTTTAGCTTACAGATCCGTTGGAATATGTCAATTACTCTGGTCTGGTCAGTCTACTGCGGATATTCTCTATTTGATTTTCATCACGTCACGCTTTGAGAGGGACAGATCCGCATTAGGCTTTGTGTCCCGCTGTTCCCAAAATAAGCAAAAATGTCCCGCTTTGACAAAGAAAAGCGTATCATCCCGTTCCATTATTGCCTGGCAGCGTGGCTTGACTAAAAGTTACGAAGTGAAGTGTTTTTAATTGTCTACAATAAATTACATTATAAACACAACCTTAGAGTATATATACATAATCATAGCTTGCTTATGTATACTCTAAGGACGCAACCAATTATTTTTAAATAATATTTATTTGCCTGCAGTTCTGCTTCTGATGGTGCAATAAGCACTGCATCATCAGCATACAGCAGACAATTTACTTTAATGTCACCCAATTTCACACCCAAACAGCTATTTTTCAGCTTTTGTAAACAGCTGTCGAGATACAGTATGAACAGCCAGGAAGACATGACACAACCCTGTTTTACGCCCGCTTGGACGCTAAACATGGGTCATGCCCTACCCGCACACAGGCTTAACAGTCATAGTAAAGTGACTGCACAGCCCTTAACAATAGACCATCCACACCATATCCCGGCAACAGTTCCCACATTTTCTTCCTTATAACCTTATCAAATGCTTTCTCCAGATCCACAAAAGCACAGAAAATCCTCTGGTTAACACTCAGAAGCTTTTCCGTGATCATGCGGAGAGAAAACATTTGATCCGTGCATCCTCTTCCAGGTCTAAATATACCGATACCATACCGATACCATAGCCGATCGAAAGCGAAACGAAGAGATTCGCAATATGGCAGGATTGAAAGATGAATGATGATTGATGATGAAAAATGGTGAAGAAAATATATAGAGCGAAAGTAAATATTAAAAGGTGTCGAGGTAGACCGAGACTAACTTTCGAAGACCATGTGAGCAAATTGCTCGAAGAGGGGAAGGTCAAGAGTACTCGGATACCTAGACGTGCATGCACGTCGGTACGTAGACGTATGAAGAAGTTAAT